ACCAAGTGATCAATTTAAGATTTTTTCTGTTGAACTCCAAAGTGCATCAGAACTGATCATCAAATAAATGTGCTGTCAAAACAGAGCCTCATGCAGCAGAACCTAGTAAAAATGGAAAGCACTATGTTGCCTTAAGAAAAAAAACCAACTTAAAAATTAGAAGATTTTGAAGGCTGTTCTGTCACACGTCAATTCTTCTAATAATTATATGCAAAATCAGTATGACAGGAATGGTTTGTTTTAATCACAGCAGTGCAGGACAGAGCCTAAAGGATGTAACATACATTGAAGAGATTTACCAGAAACCTCACTTAGAAATGTACCAATCAGAGAAAATGTATTTCTTCCTTTTTAGTAAAGCACCCAATCCACACAAGTGTTTTGGGCTTTCAGACTAATGGTATTACTAATCCCATCCTTTGTAAAGCTCACCTAGCAGATACACAAATGCATAAATCGAACACTTCCCTGGAAAATGTAGTTAATCAATATATAAGTTAGAAATCCTTACCATATGCTGTGTGATTTGTGCAATTCATTGGTTCCTGTGTGCTATTGTCTATTTTAGGCTCATCACACATATATGTTCAGGTAATTGAGGAAAACATTTTTCATATCAAACATTACAACAGGTTTAACAGTAATTTATTCCACCCTCCTTAAACCCTGAGGATTTAAGATGCACCTTGATGTTAGTTCCTACCCATCCCCCAAAACAGGAACAGCACATTACCATGCAGCAAATCTGCTAATCCAATTTAATACACCAATATATCGCATAAGCCCCATGTTTAATTAGTGCTGCAGTCAGCACTACCTAAAGGAACTACAATATTTATCAGTCATAGCCTCTGTATTTGAAGGCAAGAAGGTAGCACACGCCTCATCTAGTCTTCTTCCCTTATTTAAATACCTTGAAATTGAGGCATTTGGTTGAGAAGATTAAATCTACAGGAACGTACAAAATTCCAAGAACACATAAAAATGAACATCTGAAATGCCAGGAATTTGGTGCAGAAACAAACTGAGCTGGAACTGACTTCCAGAAGTTTCAACTCCCACAGCCAAGTAAAGCAGAAGCTGAAGTTAGCTTTTCCAAGATTTGCTTTCCGGACACTTTTGATCATGAATAACTGTTAGCTGCCATCCACCAACATGCTCTGGGGAGAGCCTGAGGCACCTTGGAGAGCAGGAGCCTTGCAGGTAGAGCCCAACACCTGTGCCCTGTAGGGCATAAAAACAGAATATCCTGAGTTGGAAGCAACCCACAGGGATCATTGAGTCTAACTCCTGCTCTGCACAGGACACCCCAACAATCCCACCCTGTCCCTGAGAGGGTTGTCCAAATGCTTCTTGAGCTCTGTCAGCCTTGGTGCCATAACCACTGCCCTGGGGAGCCCATTCAGTGCCCGACCACCCTCTGGGAGAAGAACTTTTCCCTAATAATACGGCAAAGCCTCCATGTCTCACTCTAGTGTCCTGCAGAAAATAAGAAGGTGGAGAGGTGAGGGAGTGGGGTCTTTTATCCCATAGGATTTTCTCACTGAAAATGGGAGAGACATCCCAAACCTGCCCTGAGGCACACACAGAAATCACAGCCCGAAATCACAGAATCAATAAGGTTGGAAAAGACCTCTGAGACCACCGAGTCCAACCTATGACCAAATACCACCATGTTAACCAAAAGACGGCACTGAGTGCCACATCCAGTCCTTCCTTAAACACCCCCAGGGATGGCGACTGCACCACCTCCCTGGCAGCTCATTCCAATGTCTAATCACCCTTTCTCTGAACAAATTCCTCCTGATGACCAAACTGAACTTTCCTTGGTGCCGCTTGGGGCCGTTTCCTCTCATCCTACACCCTGAGGTGCCTTGACCCGCTCCGGCCAGCTCAGACCCCCTCGGGACTCTCATCCTGAGGCTTTCCAGGCACCTCACGGCCCTCACCGCCCCCTCCCCTCCAGCCGGGGCTCGGGACAAGCGATGCCCTCCGCTTCACACCGGGCCCATCACCACGACCATCACCCCCCGCCCCGGGCCCCGGCTCCGCTCAGGATATTGCCCCATCCGTAGCTCCTCGCACTTAAGCGACGGCTCCGAGCCCGCCGCTCCCTCCAGGGCTGCGAAACAGAGGAGAAGCAGCACCCGCACCTCAGCCGCGCCGCTCCGGGCGGCCATGACGGGACCGCCGCCGCCGTCAGCTGACCGGGGAGGAGCGGAACGGCCCCGCCGCGGTGGGAGCCTGCACTGGCTGCGGGGAGAAACGGGGAGTACCCCGGGATGTTTGTGGGGTGCTAAGGGTTGGGGTTTTAGGGTTTTTGGAGGGGGGGTTCAGGGGCGTGGGGTGACCTTATTAAATATGGCTGCTGAGGCAGCACTGAGGGCAGAGCGCGCCCTTACCCAAGATGGCGCTCGCAGGGTCCGGCGGAGGGACGGGCGGGGCCGTGCCCTGAGTAAAGATGGCCGCGCCCACCGCCGGCATCTGACCTAACTCAAGATGTCAGGCGTGAGGCGTCCGGCCCAGGGGAGGTGTGGGGACGGTGGGGGAAACGGAGGGGAGCTGTGAGCAACCGCGAGGAGCCTCTCGGAGCGGGGCTGCGGCTGTTCCGGGTGATGGCACCGCGGGCAGGACGCGCCCTGAACCGAGTGGAGGGTGCCGGGGCCCGGTGAGGGAAGAACGTGATATGAACCCTCCCTCCCCTTCCAAACACTGACTGGTGTTGGCCCACCTGGTGAAATCGCACTTGTGGGTGTTCCTGATGGCGTCTGGAGTTCGCTGGGTACTTTAAAATAAGTTTAAAAACCCCAGGAGAAGTTAAAGGTGTGACCTGTCAGCACCTACCAAACCAGGTTAACCTGGGCTGGGACATTCCCTGGCAGCCAGGTGGGCCTGATGTGCTGGCACTGTGTCCACCACACCCCCAGCACTCAGATTAAGGAAATACTTTGAAATTGTTACTCTATTATTGCATGAAATTGTGCGTTGTTAAAAACGCTTTTTATTTCAATTTTTAAAATGAATAATTAAAGCCTGGAGCAGGCAAGCTTTTATCTTTATCCGCATGTGCTCTTTGTAAGGCATTTGGTGGTGATTACAAACCTTTTCCTTTTCTTGCTTCCTTAACAGTTATTTAATGCTTTTCTAGCGTGGCTGTTTCAGGTTTTGCTAGTTTGGAAGGAGTCAGTTTTCACTTATGAACTACTGGGGATGCCAGGCTGTTTATAGGAGATGGAGAAATCATTTGGGGTAAACACACCCAGGAGAGGCAGCACCACTGTCCTAAGTTTACATCAGTTCAAGAAGCGTTTCCTGATAATTGGACCTAATAAGCTGGAAAAGCAACTCTGAGACAGTACTGATTAGAACATCATCGTTACCCAGACTTTCTGGAAGTCTTTCGGGTTTACTGGGCGTTACTTTGGTTACTTGTCTAGAGTGTCAATACCAATGAAAGGTTTGTCGTGGTCCCAGATACTCAGAATCTGTAGAAGTGTAGATTTAAAACGTGTGGATGGCTGACAAAGAGCCCAGCCAGCGATGAGAAATATTGCCATCTACCAGCTTTTTGGGAGATTTGTGTAAACTGAATTGGCAGCCTGGAGTTCAGCAGGCAAAGTATGCAAATGAAAATTGATACTCCTTTCAGCAACTGGAAGTGAAAGGCCAGGGCCAGAGCACGCTCTGAGATGAACTCAGCCCTCAGAGATGGAGACAGAGGTGCACTGATGGGAAAGTGCTCGGCTCTTCTGTCTGCAGCGCGTCTCTCGGATGGATAAATACACCACTCGCTGTTCATCACTGTCAAGAAAATTGTCACTTCTCACGAGCGCCACATTAATTAAAACTGAGAGTCACGACTGGGAAGTTGGGCGTTTGGAGCTGGAATTTTTTAAAAAGGGGGATGAAATGATGTGTTCTTATAATGTTGCGTGCTCTAGTGCAACTGCTGCTGCTTAGTAAAAACAGGCACTAGAATGAGGGAAAATCTATGAGAAATTATTTTCTAAATCTCCTGTAGCCCTTACTGTGTGCAATGAGCAGGGCTGTGTGAGATCAGCAAATGAGCTCATGGAACTGTGTAGCAGAATAAAAATTATATTTGGAGATTATGAGTACATGTGTGTACATATCTAATTCTTTAAAAATCAGAAAGCAGGCTAACATACAGGTTTCAGGGACAGAAAGCACCTGCATTTCCTGCAATTAACTTTAACTAAAATGGTACCTGTTCAGTATTTTGTGACTAGTGGGAGGAAAACTTTGCTTTTATTGCCATCCCGGGCATTGCACTGCATTTCTTTGGAAGCTGCAGTGACGTGGTGTGTTTTGGGGTGCTGCTGGGAGCAGCGCTGGCTCCGTGCTCTGTGCGGGAAGTCTTGCAATCCCTTAACTCCATCCAAGTAGTTTTCCTATGTTTTTTGACGTTCCCTTGTGTGAAGTGGTGGCGGGCTGGACTGCTGAGACTGAGCACAGCTCACCTCACCTCTGTGGGGAGCGCAAAACAGCTCCTGAATTAAGTTTGGACACCGATTTACTGCAAAAGAGTGAAAAACAAGCTTTTCTACAATATTTACACTTGTTTTGCCTTCGCTGGGGAGGTCGGTGGTCATGTGACAGGTCAGGACTATGTGACAGAACCACGACTTATAAACACACCGGGAGGTCAGGATCACCTGAAAACTGATTAAAAAGTTAATTTCTGCTCCGAAGTTTAAGCTCTGCACTTCCCACAGCGGCCAGACCCCGTGTCTCGCTGGTGGGCTCAGCCCCGTCCCCTCCCCGTGCGCTGTCCCCGCACCGCCCGCGGGCCCGGCGGGGCCGGGAGGGGCCGAATCCCGGCCGTCCCTCGGGAGGCGGCTCTCCCGCCGCGCCGCCCCGGCTTCCTGCGCCGCAGGTGAGGCGGGATCGCCCCTCGCTTCCCGCTTCCGCCCAGGTGAGCGCCGGCGGCCATCCCGCCGCTCCTGGCATCCCGCTGCTCCCGGCCATCCCGGCATCTCGCCGCTCCCGGCCAGCGCCGCCGCCTCCCGCCCGCAGGTACCGCGGGAGCCCCGCGGGTGGGATGGGATGGGAAGGGGGCACGTAGAGTAGGCTCTGCTAGAGGACTTAATTCCCCTTCGGACACGGTGGTGTAGATCCTCGGGTGAAATTATGTTTATAAATATCTAAATGGGGTTAAAAATATCGATATTTATCTGTAATAAATATTCCAACCTGCCAAGAGGATGGATCTCTCTGCTCGGGGATGCCCAGCAATAGGATAAGAGGCAACGGGGCTGAAACTGATGCACAGGAAGTTCCACCTGAACATGAGGAAGAACTTCTTTCCTGTGCAGTGACGGAGCGCTGGGATTACCCGGAGGGGGTGTGGAGTCTCTCTCAGTGTACATATTCCAAAACCGTCTGAACACAGTCCTGTGCTATGTGCTCTGGGATGACCTTGATTGAGCAGGGAAGTTGGATCAGATGAACCCACTGTGGTCCCTTCCAGCCTGAAACATTCCGTGATTCTGAGTGTTTCCAACCATCTCCCGCTTCTCCAGTGCCTGACCGATGTCTTGCTGTGGAAACCACCTTGACCAGGATAGCCACGATCAGGATACCAGCCTGCACTCACCCAGAGACCCCCCACCTCAAAACTCTTTAGGTTTCATGCACTGGAGGTTTTGGCATCATTCTAACACCAAGGCTGTGTTAGGGATGTGATAGAACTGTGTGGCTCCCTATGGATTCTGAAGGCTCTCCCAGGTGCTGGAGACATCTTGGTATCCTGTTGTTGTGCAGTTTCCATTGCTTGGAAAGGCTGGATCGTGATGAGAAGAGCAGAGAAGTAATGCACCCATTGCAACACTTCCCGTCAGTGCTAGTCAATCCACAGATTCTTAGCAGAGCATGTTTTTGCTTTGTTTAGGGATGATTAATAGGTGTTCCTTATAAATTTTTGAAGCTTAGAAGCTCAGCATGGTTCCAGGTCTAACAGCTCTGTTTGCCCATGAAGTGATTTGTTAATCTTGTACACTGTCGTCATAGTAACTTTAGGATTTATTGGCAAATATCAGTAGAATATCACAATATTTAGCTGTAAAACCAAGTTTTCGTGAGCTTTGTGAGAACAGGTTTTGAGACCATGTTATTGCTTCACAGAGAGCAGCTTTGGCATGAGCTCACCCTTCTATTAGACGACAGAGAACCCACACCAGCACTTCCCTAGGGGCTGAAGTCCGCAGGAATTCAGGTTCTGCTTGTTAAAAGTTAGCATGCCTGGAGAGTGAGTAAGACTCCTCTTGATCTGCATGGGGACTGGTGATCACAGGTGCAGAGTGTTGGGTTTTCTTCACTTTCCTCGTCCTGTAGTCACTGATCATATGTAAAAACAGGACTTACGCAAGTTTCCCATGGAGTATTTTTTATTTTTAACAATATTTACCTTTGACCTACTGTACCTTGGAGATGTGTGGTGTATCTGTGTTCAGGTACTCACAGAAGTGTTCATTTGTTTCTTTCAAATGCCTGGAGCGGTTGGTGCTGCTCCACAGCATTTTTTATAAATCCTTCAGCATTGCACAGAGCAGCAGGTTCTGGTGGTTTCATCAGAAAGCTGTGAGCATGCTATGCTTGGTTGGACTGAATTTTTCTGTACATTATGAGAAAAACTGAGCATAACATGTAGGACAGCAAACTATAGATTAGAATAGTGGTTTTTTCACACTGTGTAGTCGCTTGATAGCATGTAAACTATAATTCTGAATATCTGAAGTTACAGGTCATCACCTGTAATCCTAGGTTAGGACAATTTAGGATTAAGATCACACTAGCAAATCCTGTTTTCCCTTGCTTTTGCTTTTATTCTTTTATCAACTCTGAGTCTGAAATTTTCCAAGTCAGAGGTCTCTCTGATGAGGAATATGATATGCAGCTTAGTCACTCCTGATAACAGGGCCAGGAAAAATTCCAACTGCATTAGTGCAGAAAGGTGACTTTGGACTGGGATGAACCCTTGGCTGTTGCTGTGGCAGACTGCTCAGGTTGGCTGTGTTAGAAGCCTTTGAAAAATAGCAGCGGTTAGTTAGCACTTTTGGATTTTAATGTCCAAAAAGGTTTCAGCCAGGCTGAGTGGGGAGGAGACCATCCCATGAGGCAGGACTTTTCCCGGAAGGATGCAGGTTGTTCGAGGCCAAGTTGAAGGATGTGGGACAGAAGTGGTTGTAGGTGAGTGGAGAGGAATGGGTAGAAGAATCTCTTCTGGCTAAACCATGTCCTCCTCCAGACCCCAGCAGCACACTCATTCCCATCTTTCAGCAGCCCTTTTTGGAGGGCAGGTGTTTGTCATGGGATGTCATGTTCCCTCTGACTCTGGGATGCTCCAGGGTCGAGCGCTCCGTGTCTCCATGCAAGTGGCAGTGTCTGGAAGGGGGCTGATGGCAATGGAAGACTTAAACCTTTCAGCTCTTGTGATGACCTCTGCTGGCATCAGCATGGGGGAATTCCTTTTTCCTAAGTCTGTTTTTGAAGAAGATCCAAGCGTTGGGATTTCATACAAAACCTTATGAAGCTGTCCTGCTCCCTCAGGTGGGTTCAGTTCAGCTCTCAGAAGACATTGAAACTCCAAGTTCATGCTGTGCTGGAGTGTGGGGCATGTCCTGGGGTTAGAAAACACTCAACTTCCTTAAATTCATCAATTTCTCGATGATTTTATGGCTATATTGGGAACTGTGACATAAATGTTGAACTGAGGTTTGCACTTTTGTCTACCCGTAAGATAAATAAATGTCTGTAGAACTCAGACAGGAGCGGAGAAAGTTGAATGTGGGGTGAATGAACTGATTTTAACAAGACAAACTAGAGTGTTTTGGATCATTCTTCAAATTTAACACCTAGGAATGGACTTTCTAATTTAGCAACTGTATGTTGACACTGTGGTGTCAACACACCTAGGGTGTGTTTAGAAAATGTTTAATGATAACATTTGTGCTCCTGAACATAAAGAGAACAATAATACATGGATTTGTGAGTTTCTGTGGTGCCCAAAACCCAGTCTTAGAGACCTGTCCTCAACTATCCATTACTTGAAAACTCTAAATTAATTTATGTTTTCAGGGATCCCTTCACACCAGAAGGAGCTGTTTACTTTATTTTTTTTTCCGCACTCTCTTTTTATGAAAGAAAGGAGAACAAAGAAATACTGAGGGTGGTTTTAATGTATTGCAGAAAAAAAATCATTGAAAAGCATTGCAAGCTGGCTGAAGGCCAGTTTTGATCACGAGGAATCCCAAAGTGCTGTGTAAACCTGAACTGTAACACGAGGTCCACTTGGGCATCCACCAGCACGAGTAGCTCTTAGTGACACTTTGGAGCAGCTCAAGCTGAAACTTTCTTTAATCTTCCCCCCCCCCCCATTTTGCACCTCCTTCTCCAGGGAACTTCAGCCTCAGTGGAGCCTAGATCTCTCACCTGCATTCTTCTCCTTAAATTTAAATCTCCAATTTCTTTGGGTCTGACCCCATCATCATAACTGCTGTTGTTACACCCTCTGTAGTGGAAAAAAGATTAATCTTGGGGATGGTCAGGGTGGCACTTTGAGGCTGTTTTGGTGTGGGACGGGTGTTTCTCATGGTGCAGTTTGCTTCTGCTGCGAGGTACGGGCACATCCCTGTCCCTTCTTGTCCCCCTCTGCCAGTGCTGGCAGCTCAGAGCTAACTGGGCAGAAAACTCACCCTACCAAAACGTGAAGGATTTTTTCTGCATGTTTAGCTCCCTGTTCCAGCTCACTATGGGATCAAATGAATGGAGATGGAAAGGGAAGAATAAATGCATGAAAGAGGGCTGGGGAGCTGGACCAGCCTCTTGGCTTTGGCTCTTAGATGGGCACGGTGCTGTCAAGTCGTTGTTGTTTCCTGCCATGCTGGATTTCTTTCCTGCATTTAGTCTTTTCTTCACCCCACTGCTGGTTTAAAGGTATTCCAGGCCACTTTTCCTCATAGGAGTTATTTTCCATCCATTTCTGATTTTGGTTTACTTGCTTTAGAGTTTTTTTTTTCCTCTTTTATCTGCTGGTGTGAGGTAGAAAGAGGAGGGAAGCGAATGGGGGGAAGTAAAACTCGGAAGAAAGAACAAATTTCCATATTCTTTGTCCTGTTTTGTTAAGGTTCATACAGTATTTTTAGTCGAGGAGGTTAAGTTTTGTCTTTTTGGTTTAGATGAAGACTCAGGAGTGTGTAAGGAAATGGTGTTTTCCTCTGTTCTTCAAAACCAGATCTCAGCACAGAATCAAAGGCTGCTGTGCTCTTAGAAGTGTTTTATTTTGAATGGAAAAGAAAATAAAGCTGCAGCACTTCCAAAAGTTCAGATGCATTCCTGAAAATCTTTCAGGGGTTGTATGGCTTTGCTGCTTCAACTCTTGCTATGAGTTTGATTTAAAATGACCTCCTAAATCTGTTAATAGTCTTGCAAAGCAACTAATTTTGCCTGGCCCTGGGTCGAAACAACACAAACCCACCGAGTTCTGCAGGAGTTCCTTCAGGAGCCAAAGGTGCTTAGGTATGCACAGCAAAGGGTGCATAAATCTAAAATTGTAGTTTGTGACAAACCTCTATCCGCTTATTTTTTCATTAGGTAAATCAACTTAATACGACTCTGCAGAAGAGACGCTACTTGCCTGCATAATTAATATTTTGTTAAATTCAACAGTGTCCTCCCAGAACTCCAGATGTTTTCCATGTGAGCACAGACAGTGTCAGAGGCAGAGCTGAAAGGATCAGAGGTCCTGCTGGGAGAGAGCCCTTGGGATGTGCTTACCCTGGTGTCACATTTACCATACGACCCTTTCTACTCTTGAATTGCAAGATTGAAAAAGCAATATAAAGAGCTTTTTTTATACAGATATATAGATATAGCTATTTTTGTACCAAAATAATTCCAAATATATAATTCTGAAATTACACAGTTATAGACTGGATATAATTAAAATTATGTAAATTGTGCTGTTAAATGGCTGACTTCTTTCAGAGGAGCTTGTACTAAGTAAAGAAATCTTGTTCCTCATGTGTGTTTTGGTAGAGCTGCCTTGATAGATTTCAGAATGACAGGCTCCACATCAACTTAATAACATGCAAGCAAGGGTACAAATTTATCATCGCTGCTAATTGCAAGTCTGTTGTTTTTATACTGCCATCTAGGCCTCGGCCCCAGTTGGAGACCTGTTCTATTTGGCACTGTGGAGAAGCTTTATAAAGGATATTCTGCCCCTTAAAAGCTTGATAAAGGATATTTTGCTACTTGAAAGCTTGTCATGTACATAGAAAAGAGAAAGGCAGTCTCCTGCAGGAGGAGAGAACAGGCTTCTTTCACCTGTTTCCACCACTGAGGCTGTGATTAGAATTGACCTTCCTTAGGAACGTGTTAGAATAGGGATTAATTTGCCCATTTTGGGGCCTTAATTCTGTGCCGTCCCATGAGTGGAGGAAATTTCATTGCTTTGTAAAGAAACACAACGTTTCACCTACATTGCCATTCAGCAGGGCTGAGCTATCATGAGAAGAATGTACTGTCTACAAATAATTAATCAGGTGTAAAAGTATCTTCCAAATAATAGCTAGATTTTAGCTCTGTGTCAATATTCAAAATAATTTGGTTAAACATCACTATGTCTCAGTTTTCTTTCCTTTTCATTCTGTTTTTATAACTCCATTTTTACTCATATTTGAAAGTTGTTTGTATTCCTTTCTGTGTGTGAAAGGAAAAGTACACAGAGCAAGGAAAAATTTTTAGGTGTGCTTAGGCTACAGTGCAGTCAGGTATGTTGAGAGCTTTGTTGAACAGTTGGGGTAAACAACTGGGGGTGGTATTTTTTTTCTATTAAATTCGTTGTAGTTATCTTAGTATTTTATTATTGCCTGTATTGTGTGTTACTATTCTGTTTGGATATATCATCTATTAATTTGATTTTTTTTTTTTTTAAATCTCATCTAGGTTATTCTGAGGTTATTCCAAAAATACCCCTCAACATGCCTGAAAACCCTGCGGCAGGTATGTGCTCTGAAAGTGATTGGTTTTGTGGGGCAGTGAGTAAGGAAGCTCCATTTCTAACCTGGACTTCTTTTGTGGTGCAGATAAGCAGCAGGTGCTGCAGATTCTGGATCGTCTGCAAGCAAAACTACATGAGAAAAGGGATTCCCAACACCAGGAAAACCTGGCTGTTTTACGGAACACCCTCAGGAGCCCCTTGTTTAACCAGATACTGACTCTCCAGCAATCCATCAAGCAACTGAAGGAACAAGTGAGTGTAAAATTACAGTTGTTGGTGTGATGATAACTATGGGCAGCATGGAACTTCAATCATGATGTGTAGGCGTGTGTTAACAAGGGCGCTCTTGTTAATAAGCTGTAACGTGGTGTGAGTGAATGTTGGGCTTTTTTTCTTTTGTGAAGCTGATATCAACAGTCACTGCTGAAATGAGAAGTGGTTTTGCAACAAACAGGTCAAAGGGCCATGTGCTTTGAAAGGAATGCAGGAGAGGCAGGTGTTGGGAACCACATCGGTCAGAAAAAAGCATCTGTGAAAGACATTGGCTCCAGTACTTTGAGTTCTGGACAGTGTTGGACTGGGATCCTTTGTTTTCCACAGAAGCTAAATACGTTTATCAGCTCACTGGCAGCATCTTTCCTCTCTAAAAGACATCATTGCTTCAGTTCCTGTTCATTTGTGCGAGAATGGTTAACCTGTTTTGGGAAAGAAAGTCTAGAAAACCCCTGCTAAAGATTTGCCAAGCTCCGATGCAGACCTACCCAAGCTAGTTTTAAAATTACTTGGCTTCAGCAGCAGTCAGAACTTATGTAGTTTGGTTTATAATACCAGCTGACATTTAGGTTTTGTGGACATGGGCATCCATGACACATCTGCATGAACAGGTCTCACCCTGCAGTTAACTTAAAATCAGCAGCAAAAGCTCAAAGTCGGGGCCTGAGCAGCAGCAATCCCTGTCTTGGCTGCACCTACCCAGCTGCAGATAAAGCCTGGTGGTGTCAGGGGGACAAGGCCACCTTGCTGTCATTGCCAAATGTGTTTCACATATTCCTCCCTGGGTGGCTTGGTGATGGCTGTGACATCCATTATCCATTCATGCCGTATTCCCATACGTTCTGCATCTCTTCCTTCCTTCTAGAGCTTGAATGCATGTCTGCATACTATTAAAAAAATGTATAAAAATACAAGTATATTTAAGATGTGACTGTGACATAGTGGATGTTACATCCAGAATGTTGGGAATTCGCATATCTAGAAAATTTTGGTTTTCTTGACATTTTATTTAAGGATGGGCAGTTTCATTCAGGATGGGATTTTCCAGTTTATTATATCACACTTGGAATATTTCTGCATTTCTTCATTATCAGTCAGGACTAGAACTGCAAGTTCTAACAGTGATAGCATGTTCAGTGGTAGCTAGTTTGTACCAAGGCTCTCTCTGGGGAAGGGATAATACAGACCAGGCCTTGGGCTCCTGAGTGACTCTCGGAGTATTTGGATTTTTGTGCCAAAATTTTATACTGATTTGCCTGACAATTGCAACAGTGCTTGAGTGCTTCTTTAACGTTTGCTGCTTTTGCATGTGTTGTTTCTGAAATATCAGAGTGAAAAGAGGATAACAGGCATAGGCAGGGAAGACGCATGAAAGGAACGAAGAAAAAGGTGGAGTAGAAACACAGCTGGAACACTCAGTGAACTTTCCTTCTGAAAAACAGTTTAAATTTTATATAGTAGCTTGGTCGTAGCTTATATTTTAACACTGCCTAATTTATACAGGTGCGTATATTTGTGTGAATAGGCATATATGAACATGTGTACACTTGTTTCTTTGGCAGTCTGCACACAACATGGTATATGTGGAAATCCCTTTGTTTTTTATAGTTTTCCCACATCTTTGTTCATTTTTAACAGCTCAATTACATGCCTCCTGACCGCTCAGTAGATTTTGATTTTACTAAGAGAGGGCTGCTCGTGTTTGCTGACAAATCAGTCGCTGCTGGGACACCTTGCAGTTCACCTGGACCCAAAACACCTCCCTTCACTCCAAACCTGGGAGTTAATGAATTTAACATGATCATCCAACAAATGGCAAAGGTAAGGCTCTCCAAACTTATTTTCCTTTAGGAGTACATTTTCACAATGCTTTTTTGTTGTGTTTCTGGGAGTGTGGTGCCTCCTAACCGGTACAGAGTGCTGAGGAAAACTTGACCTTGCAGTAGAAAGAAGTGGTTTGGTGGCTTGTTTTGTTTTTTCCTTTCTTCGCCAATTTTTTTTTGTCTTGCTTCCTGCAGCATGCCCCAACACAGTAAAGAAGTTTTAGTTGCCAGAAAATGCTTTTGGTATTTGATGACATTTAGTTGAAAATGGACATTTTCAGCAGAAACTTGTTTTGATGAAGACACTAGTTTTATCAAGTATATTTTGAATTGGAAATGTGCCAACTTTGTTAATACATGAGCAGTGTGAAGGATTAAAAGAAGTAGCATGTAATATTTTATTTAGCTCTTCATTTAGTTTGGCTTAACTGTGCCATGTGGATTGTGAAAACTTGTGATTTAAAAATGTACAAATTCCGTAAGAATTTGTACAGGTGCAGACATCTACACACATGGGATTGGCATTTATACCACAAATGTATTGTTCTGTGTTACTCTGAACCATTAATTTAATTGGTTAGTCATGCCTTTCTGTATTAAGTAACTGTTGCTAATTGACTACCTTAATGTAGCTGTAATATTTTGAGCATAACTCTTCTCATTAGTATGTCATTAACTCATCAGATAAAAGATTTAGCAGTAAAGACTGCATGTTATTTTGGATAAAGCAGCTGTGATAGTAGTGCTTTCTCTGAATAATATTTCCCAGTAAACAACCCCAGAAATCTTGTATTAAAACTGAAAAACAGGCAGTTGCAAAGCAAACTTTTTTAACATTAACTGTGAAGTTGCAGGGAGGGGAAGGAAATTAATTTCTCTATTTAAAAAATACAGTCTTTTGAAAGCACACCTAAAAATCAGCATTAAAAGTAAGGACAGCCAAAAGACAAGTAATTTAGTTCAGCTATGCAGCATTTCCAGAAATCCCAAATATATTGCTCTAGACAGCGCTTCTTTCATAGTTCTCATCCAGTTTGGAATTCATCTCATAATGTGAATGAAGTGTGAAAGCAGCTCTTAAATTCCCTGAGGTTTCAGAACCTCAGAGTGCTTGCATATCCAATACGTTGCTATATTAAAAATAATAAATGGAGGAGCTTTTATAGAAATAACATATTCAATATTTTGCCTTTCTTTAGTCTTAGGAGGAGAATAATTCTTCCAGTGTTCATAAATTTTAAACTAACTCATTCTATTGCATTAAAAATTAGTAAATAATTTTATTTTTTGTTTTATTAGGGAAGACAAATAGAATCAATAAAGATTGATAAACCTTCTGTTGGAGGTCTTGGATTTAGTGTGGTTGCTCTTAAAAATCCCAGCTTGGGAGAAGTTGGTATCTTTGTCAAGGAAGTCCAGCCAGGAAGCATAGCTGACAGGTGAGATCTTTATAATTGTGTTGGAAAATTGTACTTTCCATGGAGGGAAATATTACAACATTCACATTGAAAACTCCATCAGAATAACATGTTTATCTGGGTTATCTGGTGTGGTATTTTGGTGGTGGTATCTTGAATTCTGGCTTTTCAACTGAAGGGACTCATGTTTTGAGGATCAGATTTTCAGATGAGTTTTAAATATCTGAGCAATTCATAAATGGAATTTCCAGAAGTCATGACTCACTTTAGAGAATCTTGAGAACTGATTAAAAAAAACAAAAGAAAACTCAGAAAAGAATACAAGGAAAATAAAAATTAGATTCCTTTTTAATTTTTATGCACTGTGTCCCTGAAAGATTTTCCCCCCCTTGTTCCTTTATTTATGTGCCACTGACAATGCCCTATTTATAGTTGCTTTTACTGTTTGTTTCCTGTGTAAATTTAGATCCACTTCTCCCGACAGATCCCTGCACAGATGTCATCATAGAATCAAGGCTTCAGGCAGTTTCTTCCTGTATTGTCTGTGGGTTTTCACCCAACAACAAAAGGCAGAGCAATCCTTTAAAAATAAAATGTGATTGTAAAACCACAAGAGTTGGCATGAGACAAATGCAGTGCTCAGAATTATGTTTCAAGAAAATGTGTCTAGATTTCAAGTCATTGGTGTCACTTTTTAAATAACACATGTCAGGAAGTGCCAACACAGGATGACAAAAAGAGTGGGGAGAGGTTGGAATGATAATTGCGATGGGCCCACAGAGAACACACCAGAGAACACTTAAAGAAAAGCATATTAAGGCTCTTTCAAAGTGGAGACAGATGGACTGATCCGGATGTCAAAAGGAGGGTGAATATCTCACTTTAGGATTTGATGACCTGCTGCTCACTTTCTTTGATGAGAGAATCTAAAATATGGTTAGTGCTTGAAGAAAGTGATTTCTGGGAAACATTTTAAACATGGCATGATAAAAAGGAAGTTTAAAATGCCTTAGTTAAGATGTGCAGTTACATTGTTTGAGAGTTTATAAATTTCCCCAGCATGCTTCCCGTTTTGCTTCTGAGACAAAATCTCCTGGAGATTTTTTTTGGATTCCTACAGAGCTTTGAAGGCAGTGTCTGTCTATGTAACAGTTTGGTCTCGTGCTCAGAATGAATATTTAATAAAGGAGATGAGTGATGGTTTCTCTCTTGTCACAAATCTAAATTCATCACTGGGATGAATTAACTGTGAAATTTACATTATGTCAAGGTAGCAACTGAACTGTGTATTGCTCAAAGAAAGTTTCATGTGTGAAGCTTGATACTATAAATTTTAAGTAAAATATAAATATGCAGCTCATTGATCTTTAGGTTAAATAATGAGACAAAACAATATCAAAGCCTGAGTTGTGGATACTTAGAGATAGTAGCATGTAGTGTTAAACACAATGAAGAATAGTTCCTAGTTTATTGTTTATCTACAAAAATAATTTTTTTCTGCTTTGTAGTTCAATATTAACAGGAAAGAATGAGGGAATTTCAATTAATTTTGAGTAGAAGCAAAATAAAAAATTGAAGAGATTTTTGTACCATGATAAAACTGGAGCAAAATGTGTCTGGGTGGTGCAGTTTACGGTGTGAATTGCATGTAGTTTGGAATTTGGTGAAGACATCCTAATAACCAGATTTTTAAAATATATGAATGTTTAACCTTGCACAACTCTGTATTTTGCATGTTCGTATTTAAATTACATGAGCCCGATGTGAAGTCACTCTGGTGCATTAAAAAATTGCTTTCAATGTTTTGTTAAGGGATCAAAGACTGAAGGAAAATGACCACATACTGGCCATTAATTGCACCCCATTGGATCAGAACATTTCCCATCAGCACGCCATTGCCCTCCTCCAGCAATCCACGGGATCCCTGCATCTGGTCGTGGCCAGGGAGCCAGTTCAAGGGAACGGCAGAACTTCAGCTGTCTTATTAAGTGATGTAAATCCACCTGAGACTGTGAGTTGTTGTAATACTGTCAAAATCAGATTTTGAACTGTGCTGGATATTTCGTTCATGTCTCTTAAGTGTTTGTGTTAGCAAGTTTTACATGCAGGGATTTTTTGCTTTAATCAGATTTTGTATGTGGTGACATTTCATTTAGACTCACCGTGCAGTAAGTGTGAGGCTTCCATTGCAAAGCTGCATGGAGCTGGTATAAAATAGATCCTGGGTTTTTATGGGATAGCAGAAGCTTTAATAGATCAACATATTCTTAGCAGCAGGGTCTGTTCAGCATAGGCTGGGTAAAACATTTTATGAGTATACTCAGCTGAAACCTACTTGAGCTCAGCAATTAAAGGTACTCTGATTACATCTTAAAAGAGAGTAAAAGTAACCTGTCGTGAACACTGTTTGAAATATCCCAACCAATTTAAACTTATACTGCTCAAACGAAAAAGCCTTGTCTTTGTTTTAAAAAACAAACAGAAATTACCTGTAAAGAACCTCTCAGTCACTGTTTATTTATCAGGGGTTTATTTTATCTGCAAATTTCTTTAATTGTGAACTCATTTTGTTTTCCTGACAAAGGAGAGCTTGTCACTGGGACAGGTAATAAATTAGGGCTGAACTTCCATCTGTGTTCTACCGATATGTTCCATGTGGACCAAATTCCACTGAATTTGGTCAAACTGCACATCTAAATTCAGGGATTGCAATATTGGAATCTTAATTTATTATGCTAGTAGATTTTGATGGAAATCTGGGTAAAACCAGTGCTTTTCCGTATTCTCAGTAATTATTTCCCTCATGATTATTACAGAGGTAGTGAAATCTGAAAGCTTTAGTGGATAATCAATATTGTTTATTGCACTGAAAATTTTAAAGAATTAAACTTTAACTGCTTTTTCATTGAAAGATCTGCACTGAACAGACTAACAAAATAAAATACAAATATATATCTCTACAGGGGGTCCTTAAATTTCTTTTATGATATTTAACTGGCTTTGGCAAAGATTTTCAGTATGCTAATAAATCCTTTATTCACAGAAGACTTAAATCTGCCTACTCTGCTCCATTTTGGTTTCTATGAGATATTAATCTGACAGAAACATTGGCTGGGTTTGGGTTGCTTAACAGCTTTGTTATTTTCAGATTGTCTTGTAGAACATAAGGTCATGGTACAGTGTAGCTTGGAAAATTTGCTTCCAATTCAGTATGGCAGAATATTGTGTTGTGCTATTAATTCAGTACTGGTGGTGTTTTGAGTAAGTGGAATAACAGAAATAAGAATTTGGGCAAGGCTAAGTGAAAACTAGGCCAGTGTAAGCTCCTTGCCCCTGTTTTCCCCTCTTGTTTATAGTGTTCTTGATTTATGAAAAACTGAAAGGATAGTTTTCATTTTGGCAGGAAAATCTCAAAATTGCTTTTTCCTAGTCAAGCTTTTTCCTAGTATCCTGTTATCCTGAAAGTGAAGGACAAACTGTGTGTTTAAAAACAGATGATAAATCCCACTGCGTATTTATAAGGAAATGGAGCTGAGTGAACAAAATCCCACAGATCTCCAATATGTGGGGTTGAGGGAGAAAATTGCTCTGATTAATTCTCGTCATTCACGTGAAAGTGAGAAACATTAATGATCGACTCAAATTAAAATCTCCTGTTTTTATTAATTGCAGATTCACTGGGGCCACATTGAAGACGTTGAGCTGATTAACGATGGTTCGGGATTAGGCTTCGGAATTGTAGGAGGAAAGTCAAGTGGAGTAGTTGTAAGAACGATTGTTCCTGGGGGATTAGCAGATCGGGTAATTTGTTATATTATGTCACTTCTTGTTTGATTGTAAAGTATAATTAACTGGTTTTGACAGTCTTAAAATAAACTAATATATTTAAACAAAAGGAAGCTGATAGCATCAAAGTCTGAATGCCAACATATACATCATAAATAAATATGTTGAAGGTATGATTGAGGAGAAAGTCAGCGCCTGATATAAATTAAGTTGTTTCTCAGACATGCTTTGGCTTTTGTAACATTGTTGAACATGCAGAAATTCTGAGAAGTTGTCGCATATTTTCAATACTTTTTATATTTTCAGCTTTTGGTCAGTGTGGGGGAGGACAAATACACTGTAGAATTTGACAACATCTATAGGGACAAACTCTCCAAATGAATTGTCAGGCAAGAGGATCTGTTCAATTGAAGTCATTGCATTACAAGATTCAGTTTAGAGATTGAAAATGTCCTGGTTGTAGTGGATTTCATTTCCAGGGGTTTTGATTCCTGCCTTGCAATCTGACCGGTTCAGGGAGACGTTTAGGTTTGATGCAAAGGCTTTTGGAGCTCCTGATACTTTTTGAAGTTGCACAGGTACAGTTTGTAACCTTTGGTTGCTCATGTTGAAAGACTCCATGCTAAGTGTTGCTGCATTTAAGAGCAGAACACTTGCAATAACAAAACAGATTTGGATTTTTTAAGTGAATTTGATCATGGTGAGTTACGATAGCTGAAGACTGGAACCCATACAGACAAAGAGAGAGGCTAGGGTACTTCTTCTAGTATAGGATGGAAATTAAAACTAGCAGTTTGAAGAACTTTACTGGAAAATGTTGGCTTTTGCTTGACTGTATCCCCCTGAACCTGTTGTGTATAAATGAGTATTTCTTAATTGTTGTCTAACACCTGTTTTGCTGTAAGGAATGAAGTGTTTTGGCTACCAATGAAGCATGTAAGTTAAGAACTCACCACATCATTCTCAGCTGAATGAGGACATCATTAAGAACATGTGAAATAATGATGCATATACATGTTAAAATTGGATGACTTTGTAAATGAGTTTGAGTTGGTTCTGGGAATAACTCTGTGATTGCTGTATAAATCAATGCACTGAAGCTGGTGGAGCTGTGCTGATCAATACTAGCTGAGCATTTGGTCCTAGGAATGCTTGCTTATAATAGAAATTATGATATAGGTCATGAATCATAATTATCAGGTAAAAATGGTTTATATGTAGTCTTGTTAGCTTCACTGGATTTACTCACTCCAGTTGGAGTTATTCATATGAGAAAAGAATTGCCAGGCTAATATAGAAGTATTAGGAAAAAGTCTAAAAAGTCCTAAATCAAAATGCTGTGCTTTCATTCTAGCCCCTGTCCTGTGAGGATTGTTCTATGAAATAGCAATACATGACAATTTGTGAGATTATAAAACATTGTTGCTCTCTGTTTTCTCCTAAATGAGCAAAACAGTGGAAAAAACAGCTCATGATTGTGCAAACGAGTCCTTGAATTATTTAGTATGTTGCCATGGTGGTCAGTTTGCTGGTGTTTTCTCACATTGGTTCTCATGGCCATGAAGATGCCATAAAGTTTCAGTTTTGTAATGGAACAGATATTTTATATGTAGCCTGGAAACATTTTTTCAATTTTATTTGTATTTGAAGGATGGGAGGCTCCGAACAGGAGATCACATCTTACAGATTGGAGGGACCAATGTGCAAGGAATGACAAGTGAGCAAGTTGCCCAAGTGCTGAGAAACTGTGGGAATTCTGTTAGGATGATTGTTGCAAGGGACCCCAAGTGTGAAGTCATGGAGGCTCCACCAGCTCCTGTGAGCTGGCCAGTCAGCACATTACCTTCCTTTCAAAATGGAAATGTAAGTACCTGTTGCTTCCTTATGACATTTTTAAGTATGTTTGTGGCTTGTGATCAGAAAGGAAAGAGAGAACAGAGTGTTCTCGAGACCTAAAGTACTACTTCTCTCTTGAGTTTCCAGATATCGTGTGCTCGTATTTAAGTGGTCATTATTATAGCCCTGCCTTCTATAATTTTTCCCTTTTTCCTGTATGTTATTAATACCTGCAATCTTGGGATTGGAATGACCAGCTTTACAGAATTTATTTCAGAGTGGATAATTTAATTACCAAGACCATAAACATTATCGATAAGTGGTACTTTTAGTTCTCCTTCTTAGCTCATTAAATTTTTGCTAATCAATCATTTGTAAGTGGATTTAAAACTGGACTCTGAATTTGCCTGCTCTGAAATCCAGAGCGCCACGGCCACACCAGAATTATTCAGCACAATCATCTTTTTATGAAACATAAGTGTAATGTTTTCATAGTCTACGCTACTGTCTGTGATAGGAAATATATCTAAAAATTTTGAAACTTGTTTTAGCAAATCTTATCATGGTCATATCAAAGTCTCTTGTTTTTGAAGTCATTCTTTTCAGTTTTGAGTAATTAAAATCAACAAATGCTACACTAAGTGTACAGTAGGTCTTGAAACATAAACAAAGCTGTGCTTGTGTACCATCTGCTGCTACTGTGCTGCTTAGATTTAGGTGTAGAATCTGAGTAGCCTTTTCTTTCTTGTTTAGTTTCTGGAATGTGAGTGAAGAGAGGTATTTTTTTTTTAAGCACCGTTTTTAAAGGTCAGAGTAGAAGTCATATTATTATAAATGCACCTTCTTGTTTGCTGGGCTGCCAGTAGCTTTGTGTCTTGCATTTCTGGAAAACTGAAGCTGCCAATTGAGTATTTTGGGTCCTTCTCAAACTCCTCTTCTCCCAAGAGGGGTCAGTATAGTACAAAATGTGAGTGGGAGAGAGATGGGAGGAGGGGATTTATGTCCGTAAGGTTGGAGTCTTAAAGGTGAGTTTGTCCAATACTCTGACAAAAAGCTTTCCAAGAGAATCAGCATTGTTACGAGACACTTCTTTTCTGACTGGATCATATTTTCCAAGGCCCATATTAGGGAAAAAATAGCATGATCCTAGTTTTGTTTCCTCTACAAAGTCCTATTTTTCTCTCTTCGTGTTGTCCCTAATCAACCCCAAGCACTGTAGATGCTGCAGCCTTTCTACAATATTATTTCTTCTGGATGTATTTTTAGTGTCCTCCTTATGCCTCCTGTGTAGTTTGGAGGGGAAAAAATAGTTTTGCAATTTTATCTACTTCTTTCTGGATGTCATCTCTTTTTTTTCTGAACTAAATAGTGCCTTCATATGTAGATTTGAAGAAAATCCTTTTCCTGGTGCTAGGAGAGATTTGCTGAAGACAAGATTAGTAGCTAAACTGAATGTATTTATTAATTTAATGTTGATTTCAATGCTTCACCTTTCCCCTTGGTCTGAAATTTTCTCTATAATCTAATTTCTCTCTGATTTCTGAGTACTTTCACTAGCTGTGAGCTTTGGAATAGAAAATTTTTTCCTTTTTTTTGCAAACTAGCAGAAAGGCATTTTTAATAGATCGTTGGTTATTTTCAGTTTTATATTAATATTTGATTTTCTTTAAATTTCTTATTTCTCTATTGTAGTAGAGAATAACTGAAGCTACCTACATCTGTGCATGGGCACAAGAAAACAGACTTCTTGTCTGTACTCTCCAAGATACTGGCAGCAATGTTAGCAGCCTACTTGTGCTGACTGTACTTAGGACTTTGCACTGTGATTTTTCCAAGCTCCCTTCTAATGTTTTGCATTAAAGCATTGACTCTTAGGAGCTTTTGATTGTCAAAACAGCAGAACTCTCAAGGCCATAGCTCCATTTCAGATGTTCCTATAGGCTTGTTTACTCTATAGATAAGTGACAGTGTCAAAACTTATCTTCATCTCCATCAGCCTCTTACAGAGCAAAGGAGTTGGGAGGCATTTAATGAGTTTAATGACTGTGGTAGTGGAGGGAGGTGTGTGTGATAACGAGATACTGTCCATTGATTTCTCTTTCATTGAAAAGTGGAATATGGCTATAACTCCGCCCTGCTTTTAATATGGGTCTGTCCAAAGCTGATACTTGGCAAGCATTTGATTAAACTTATCTTTTTCACTCCCTTAAGAAATGTTTTCCGGTTTCCCAGTCCGTTTTTTGCTGTTGGCAGTGACAGTATCCCCTCTTGATTTCATCACTTTAACAGACCTTACTCTCATCATCTTCTTTTTGATCTCATTGGGCTGTACAATCTGATTACTGAAAACAAACAACTCTATGTATTTTAACTTATCCCTTGCAATCCCAGATTTATGTGCTTGATTGTTTTTCTCTTTGGTCTCACGAATGTCTTTACTGTTCCCTGTTTGAACTCGTCTTGCAGTTTAGATTTTTACTGGTCAGAGGAGAATTGCACAGACATCCTGAGGCAGCTTTGTAGGGACTTTGCAAATGAATTTACATTGCATTTACAAAGGAATACTCTCCCTTTTCTAATAGGTCTTAAACATGATTTTATCTGAATGCAAACTAATGAGGCTTTTGCGTCCCATTGCCATGGACAAACCTGGAGGCTTCCAGTTCTCCTTGCAGCTTGATGGTGGTCAAACCTGAACAGGATCACAGCAAACATCAGGACTCACATTTTAAAGGGAGAGAAGAAATTCTGAGGGCATTCAGGATTTTTCTTGTCTTGAGGGATTGACTGGGAAGTTTGTTGTTACCCAGTGGAATCCAAAGGGAAATGGCCCCTGAGTAGTCTAATAAAAATCTTACAATAAAATGTTTATATTATACCTCTGACAGCTATATGGATCAGGTATTGGGAAAAAATTTAAAAAGCAAACAGAGACTTTGGTGACACTTTATTTTCAGCAAATCTTGGTTATGTCTGTCTTACAAATACAGTCCCTCTTAAAACAGGAAAATCAAAATCACTGCTCACTTCTGAAGATCTTAATTAACCTGCAATATTGTAGCAGTACTGGGAAATTACAAGATTTTTTTATTGTCTTCTGCTTTATTTATAGGATAGTATCAACGTTTTTGATAGCTATGACGTTGAACTTGTAAAAAAGAATGGACAAAGCCTGGGAATAACAATTGTTGGATATGCTGGCACATGTGATATAGGTGAGTTCTACAGGATGTAGTAGGTCTAGGACAGGGGCTTCTCAAATACCCTTTATGAACTGTGGGGAAAATGAATAGCTCCTACCTGTGGTAGGATATGGGGACACGCAATCAGCTTGTTTTTTTCCCCTAAATCCTCTTTAAATTAGAGCTGTTAACTTGTCTTTCAGATATTGGTTGCACAAATGATAATATCTTTAAAATTGACCCAACTGAATATCTGGTTTTACACAAAGGGGTAGTGCTTTTTATCCCTCTCCTTCCTTGTGGGAGTCGAGGTAATTTGGGAACATGGTGCAGCTGGAGTTGCTCTCAAACGCTCTTTGTTCCCAGGAGATCCTCTTGTGTTGCCAGGCAGGAATCCCAGGCCAGTGCAGGGGGCTGGGGAGGGGCACATGTCAGCTAGTGGGAAAAGGTGAGTTTGAAGCACTGGTGGAGGTGTTTTGTAGAGCATAGACAAACCATGTTGGGCAGGTGTTTGATGAAGGTCAGTGTCCGGAAAAGGATGGATGAAGTGTGAAGATTTGCCAGAATTAAAGATCAGTGTTTCTTATTTAGCATGAGTTTGTGGAAGTGTTAGTGTTTCGGGTTTTTTTACTGTTTTGTTTTGTTTTTATTTCCTTGTTCTAATTAGAATTAATAATCAAACGTCAGACATGACAAAGGACAGCTTTTCTGATTTCCATGTTTCTCTTTTTTTAAAAAAGAAAAATCCTTCTTCATTAAGATTTAAAATACTAAATTCTTTAGCTGTAAGATGATTGAAGTCCTGATCAAAGTCCTTAAGCACGTACTTTACTTTTAGCTTAGTTAGTCCTATTGAAATCAAATGCAGCATGGATTTAAGTGATTGTGGTTTAAAGCCTGGGTAAGCACAAGGATGAATCCATGGAGGAGGCAGCCTTTTGTGAGCAATTTTAAGGGAAGAATTTTGAGGTCAGTGTACAGGTGGTTGTGTCAGTGCTGGTTTTTCCACCAGAGATCCTCAGTCATTTCATGTCAAGTTGTGTGAGTGGTAACATGCAAATATTGGTGGTTTACACAATCATCACTTTATGGAAAGAAGAAAGTGTGTGAAAAAGGCTGGAATTAAAAATCTTAGTCAGAAAAGAAACAGATTAAGTTAATGCAGTGACTTTTCTGTCCTCCCCAGCAGAACCTTCAGGGATTTTTGTGAAGAATATAATACCTGGTAGTGCTGCTGACCACAATGGCCAAATTCATGTCCATGACAAAATTGTTGCTGTAAGTAAAATACTCTTCTTACATATTGCTGTAGAACTAGTACTTCATTACACATCTCAGTGCTAAAAGAACAACGTAGTAAAGACTTTCAAAAATTAATTAAACCCCCTCTGCTTTGCAGAAGAAATAATTTGGTGGTTTGTATTTGTTTAGGTAGATTTGTGACAGAAATGAGCTTTGGTTTGCTGTGGTTAAAGTATTATTTTATATTCAAAGAAGTAGTAAATAGTAGTTAACTATGAAAGAGGCAAGCATTTGGATTAAAGTGTTTCAGAGTGGAGAATCTTGGCTTTTGGCCTGCAGTATAGATGAGCAGCATTAACTTCCAATTGAATTGCATGTGATTTGAGGATGGTTAAGATTTTGCAAGATGTGGCACATTGTTTATGGTCCTTAACGGCTGTGGAGTGTGGATGCAATCAAGATGTTAATGGTCACAAATTAGGTTTAAAATCCCAAGCTTTATGTGTAGAAAAATGGGGAAAAAAAGTTGAATAACAGTGAATTGAATAATAGCCAATTTTGCATTCACAGTACAAGCAGGAATGAATTACACAGTCCTTTTGTTTTAAGAGATAATATTTATGGAGATATGAGTTTAAATTACTTTTAAAATGTGTGCTATGCCAGACCTTCTAAAGTCAGCTTCTCCTTTGTGAGAGCAAAAATTGATACAACATTTTATCTGCAGGAAAAGCTCCTATTGATGCATGATCTGACAGTGAGGTGAACAGAGTATTTTGGGTGTAAATTAAAATACCTGAAAATGTAGGAATTGGACTGTTCAGAATGGATTGAACAAACAGATGTGTATATAGACTTGTTTGGGGTATGTTAGAAATCTGTGAGAAAACAGTGATAATGAACAGAATTCCAGGTTGACTGCTCTGCTGGGGAGCTTCAATCCACAATCCTTGTCAAGACTGGTTTTTGTAAACAAAAAAAAATCAGGGAAAATCTGTGCATATGTGTATCAGATGAGTAAATTCTGGTTTGTGGTTGCCCCATGAAGACAAGAAATTACTGTTTTGTTTCCTTTTAAAATGCATTTTGAAAATATTATCTCATTAGTGAAATGTAACTGATTTAATGAGATTGTTTTGCAAATACTACTGTCTTGGGAGAATAACCCTATAATTCCTGCACAAAATAGTATGGCTGATGCTTACAGTGTATGGTACTACACTACATAGACTAAGAATGGAAAACAATTACTATTCTTTGATACAATTTTCTTGTTTTAGGTTGATGGGGTTAATATACAGGATTATAGCAACCAAGAAGTGGTAGAGGTATTGAGGAACACAGGACAGACTGTACGTCTCACTTTACTTAGAAGGAAACCTTCCTCTACTATTTCTTCAGAAAGACCTTCAGATAGAGGTAATCCTTTTTTTCTCTTTTTTTCTAGCAACTGATTTTATTTTTCACTCAATTTACAGTTACCTCATTTAACAATTCAGGACTCGATACAACACGATCCTAGGTTTTGTAAAAGCACACTGTAGAAAATGAGATACTTGAGAAGGAATGGAAAGACAAAAAACCAAGAAATTCAGGAAAATTGAGTGCCTTCCCCCCCAGAATTAACGAGGTGTTGTTACTACTTCCTATATTTTGCAGCATATGATTTGGTTTTTTTCATTTGTTCTCACAGTGCAGCCAACTGTTCCAGTCTTTGTGTCCCCTGCAGCTGTAGAGACTGAAATTAGTGTGGACACTAAGAATGAGGGAAAACAAGAACAGAAGGATAATCTTCAAAGTGAAAAGCAGCAGAGTCTACATAAAGCAGGTAGATAGGATATCTTGCAGTGTCTCTTCTGAGCCTTGGGACTGTCTTTAATTCATTTTCAATACTGACGGGCTGTCATGGCTTATTCCATCTTCAAATTTTACCTTGTAATGCTTTTTATTCAGTTCCCTCAGAAGTAAAACTCTACCTGTTGGATCTATCGACTCTCCCACCCCACCCTGTCCCCACAATGTGCATTCTGTGTCATCATGGGGATCACTGATGAAGACACTGGATCACATCAGCCCTGCAGATATTCAGCTCCGTTCATAACTGGGTGCCAAGCCATTCATTAATGCTGTCTTTGGTCCCTGTGCTCCATCTGGTTTTCAGCCTATTTAGCCTATGTTTCCTCAGTTTCCAAATGGGAATGCGGATGTAAATGGTGTCGAAAGCTTCAGTAAAGCTGAAGTGTGTTACACCTTCATCCACATTGCTGTCTTGCAGTCAGATTGGTCACTTACTTGGCAAACCTATATTGACTGTTCCTGATTTGTTTTCTTTTCATTTGTGTCTTTGGAAATGGATTCCAAGAAACCTCTCATGATTGCGGGGCCTGTAAGTCTCTGGATCTTCTTCCTCGTGTAAAATTTGCCCTTTTCCAGTCAATAGTAATCCCCTTTGTTTTGGGACGGTCTTTTTAAGGTTATAGACAGTGGAGGTGCAGCCCTTTCAGTACTCTGTAACAGATCTCATGGACTCTATAGAGCTGAAAGTTCAGTGAGTCCTCTTTCTAGTTCTGGTCCTGCTCTCATGACCTGAAGTGTCCTACCAGCAATCATCGAGGGAGATTTGTTCATCCTCCTGTGCTGCCAGGGCCCTGAACCACAATGCTGGGTGAGCAGCATCAGGAGATGGAACTCCCAGGAGTTCATATTTGTTTCCTGATCCAGTGTTACCTCACTCATATCCATCTTAATAGTTGGACTCGATGATCTTAGAAGTCTTTTCCAACCTGAATGATTCTGAAATCTTCTTGCCCTCACAGACCTTGGACTCTTGCGGACTATTTTCATAATATTCTTCTGGTTTCCTGTACAACATCCCTAATGCCCATTTGTTGCAGTTTCCTCTTTTGACACTGCAGTAGCTTCATCAGAACTTGTGTCCTAGACATAAAGACCTGATAACTGGAGTTCAAATTAGGCATGTTTTTAACAGCGAAGGCAAATGGACAATAGGGGCAGGTCACAAAGACTTGTTTTGGGTTTTAGCTGACTTGGGAATCAAGGTTGGAGGTCTTTCCAGAAGGCACGCTTCAATTTCCCTACAGATTTCTGGGCTTTTCTACAGGAACTTCTGGGTGAATTTATACAGCTTGTGTTAAAGTCAGCATAAATTATCCTTATGCCTTGTAGTTTCTAAGATATGTAGATGCAATAGAGGATTCTAAATTACGGCTGTCAATGAATAACAATTTTGCTATGATTGTTGAAGATCTGTCAGTATTAAAGACAACCTGGAAACAAGAGAAATGTAGCAGTTCCTATATTCCATTCTGTTTTACTTTTCTGTCCAAGCCTTGTAACCAGACATCCTTTGTTGTGACTTTTGTGTGTTCCCAGAAGTAGGAAGCCAGAACAGAGGCGGTTGAGTAGCTGAGAGTTGAGGTTATCAAAGCATTGTTTTAGCTGTATGAGTAGGAAAGCACATATTGATTTGTAGTTACAATGGACTGATGACTTAAGGGCTGAGTAGGAGGATGTATTTAGGGGCAGAAGAGCCAGAAGGATTTAGACTTGCTGTGGCAGAGGCTGGAAAAGAGCAACACATGTGTCCTGTATCACTTACATAGTCTTTTTTGACTGTGGAACTTCCTATAAATAAAGTATTTTCTTTTTCTACTGAAGTGAACAATATCTCTGTAATCAGCTCCTGACCACTGGTGGTTGGGTTATCCCAGGCTACAGGTGTCTGTTCTGATGCAAAGAGAACTCTCTGAGGGATTTGTTACCCAATACCTGGTGCTATGCAAATACGGTCAGTGCTGGGATCAGCTTATGCTGGGAACTAAAATTTCTTTTACCTGGCTTGAAGGTAACAAACTGTGTTAGTCTCAAGGGGTGTTGGATCCATGGTGGTTCCTTGCAGGGGCAGTGTGGTAGAGCTGCATTTCATTCCCCAGAGCATGATGTAGCACCTATGCTAGGAGATTTTCCTATTCTCCCATGTATCCAAACTCCCCTTACCTTGGAGAGTACAAGATGATGGGTTTGCATGCAGTATGTCTTGGAATACCAGAATTTAAACACTGAAGATGTTGTTTGTAGTTGGATACAGCCCTTGATGCCATTAACTGTACTGGTCCTCCTTGGCCAGCAGGAAAATGCCACAGGCAAGGCTTTGGAACTGAGTAACGAATCAGGAGCATTTAGTGCCGTGGGAAGCAAGTCCCATTGCTAATTAAACTGTGGTTTTCCCTCTGAAAAACTTTCAGGTACAATGTTCTGCAAAAGCTTTATGCAACTATAAAGTGTGTGTGCCTCTGTTAAAAAGTTGAAATACTTAAGTTGCAAATTTTACTCCTGCAGAAATACGATGTATAAGATTTCATCTCAGAATAGAATTTAATGGCCAGGTTTCAATTCCAGAGATAGGTGCTTATTTTGGACGTGGTGATGGGCACTTCATTATAATGGTGCTAAAGTAAATACGGCTAATTTAAGGCTCTGACTAAACTCTGGAAATGCTTTTAAAAGTTTAATGTAAAAGGTATGTTTTATAAAATGTGTATTACTTCCCTTTAAGCCCAGTTGTGTGAAATTCTTATTAAATTGTGTTTCCTGGGGAGGTATTAAATAGTAATTCTGGCCAGGTAAAACCATGCTTAAGCAGTTCTGTTACAAAGGCAACATGGTTTAGGATGCAATGTGCACGAGGCCTGTTAGCAGCATAGAAGCAATTAACTTAATTAACAAGGCTTCAGACTGGACAGAACTGCTTTCTCTTGCCTTGCAGGAGTACTCAGAACCTAGATATACAGTGATGTGAGTCAGGAGCTTGAAGGTGTCTGGGGAAAAAGATCTAGCAGTAGGGCAGGTAAAGATAGAGCATTAGTAAATTTGTTAAACCACGAGGAAATTGCAAGAAGAAAAGATCCCAGTTTTGACCAGAAAATATGATTTTCCCATGCATTTTTGGTTTATTCTTGATGCTTGGTAATTAGAAACGAAAAAGTTTACGAAAGCACAGGCAGAAGGACAGACTAAATACACTGAAAGTTGCTAATGAAAGCTGTCCCTGGGAAGTGGTGGTGTGGTTTTGTTTTCTGAGTCCTTGTACATTATAAAAAGACATGGCACATATGTCAGGTCATGAGAAATTCAGCTGGATGAGATACTAGAAAGAAACTTCTATTAGCTGCCATGTGGAAAAAGCTATTTGGGGAAAATGGAACATTGTAAGTGAATTGAGTGATAGCTTTGGAATTGAATATATTCAATCCAAATCCCTTCAACCAACATTTCCACAGTTCTGAGGAAGTTACGAGCAAAGACTTCAAAGAGTGTTTGAAAGAAAGAAAGGGGAAAACTTCAAATGGAGACGTGCATCAGCACCTGCTCTGAACAACTCATAGATTTTGGTAATGTGTTTTGGAAGTGACAAAAAAATCTGTATTCAGCCAGCTGAACACAGCTTACACTGTGAACTTTGAGCTTGACCCTGAGATTCATTACTCCTGGTGAACCTTCAAATCTATATTTGGCTGCACAGGGGATTGCAGGTGCTTAGGTCCTGTGTGTTCACGCTGTTGTAACTTTGTAATAGCAGAAAGACAAACTAAGGAATTTTTGTCCCTATGTATTTCTGCAAATTGAAAGAGTAGAAGAATGCACTGGTGTTCTGGTTTTGCTACTATTGGGAAGTAAAGATAGTGATCAGCCTGTGCTTGATAACAAGGTTCACGTTAGAAAGTTTAATTAAATTTCAATGAGGGAAAGAATTTCAGGACAATTTGTCTGCCCTTTTTTTTAAGGAGATAATTTATTTCAGAGAGAACTGTGGCCTGTATTTACAAACTCAAGTTTTTAATCTTGGTGGGGTGTCTTTTTGGTAGCAGAAAATAGCTATCAGGTTTACTGGAATTCTGGAATATCTGTATCTCTCTGAACCTATACGGTAAAGATGCTCTGGATATTTCGAAGTGAAATCTTGGTTGTTAGGCTCTGAGGAAGGTGGTTTGTCTGTGCAGATCACACAGAATTTACCTATCTGGCATGACTGAAAGTGAGCAGAAGAGGTACAGTGATGGGTTCTGTTGTTGTACAAGTTAACTTATATCTTTTTTTTTAACGAGTGGAAAGCATCAAATTTTTAAAATGAAGTAATGAGGATTGTATAGCAAGGCTTTATCTTTGCAGTGTACAAAGGTGTTGAAAGCAGAGGCAGCTTGACATGTCATTTGTGTAGGCTGTTGCTGGTAGGTAGACTTCAAACTTCCCCCCTTGAGGTATTTTACTCACTGGTTTGTGTGCAAAATGTGAGCCTGTGATTTACATTCCAAATTTCAGTGTGACACATCAGCAATACTGAGTGGTCTGTGCCTTGTCTAGACATCTGACAAACTACTGCAGTCATTCAGGGGGGAAAAAAAACAGGTTTTGGTAATTCAGCCCCCAGTTGCTGCTGCTGTAGCTGCTGGATGGAATTTGCTGTGGAGTTTGATTCTTACCAGTTACACATTGCTCTGGCCTGGAACTTTATATGTGAGCTGAGCTTCTGGATGAGGTCAAACGCAGGGCAGCCAGTCATTTTCTGCTGTCTAGCTCTGTCAAATTGTCTTACATGACTGTAATACTGCCTTGGTTGCATAAGTAAGAAAGCTGAAAAGATATAAATGTCAAGATAGCCAAGTTCCCACGGAAGACTGGTTTAGAACTGGAGCTTATATTAAAGCTCATGTTACTTACTGGCCTAATTAAAGTAGACAAGCCTTTATACCTGCCAAATGTATAAATAAAGTCTGTGCCTGCATTGTGCTGACACAGCCCCTCGATAACAGCAATATCTTGTCAGGTGTTTTACTTCTTAAGGGGGTTCATTTGGGTGGGAGATGGTGTTTCCCTGGAGTGGCAAAGGGTTTTTATAGCAGCAAATTATGAAGTCGTGTGAAATTTGTTTTTGCAGCCTGAAAGAATGATTTATTTACAGTACTGTATGGTACAGAACTCGCATCTCATCATCAAGCGTCACCTCTTCTGCTTCTCAACTGAATAAATCACACATTAGCAGGAGCTGACATTTTGCATTGTTTTCCTAAGAAAGACGTTTTTGGTTTGTACCGTTTGATAGACTCAACTTAATGCACTTTCCTTTTGGGGATTATTCCCTCTAATCTTTTATTTACACTGAATTTTTATTGAAGTATTTAGAAGTAAATGTACTTCTGAATGTACAATATACTTGTAAATTTAATATTCACTTTCATATTTAGGAAGAGTCCCACTTCCTCCAGCACATGAACTAAAATCCAAGTGGGAAAACCTGTTGGGACCAGAATACGAAGTTATGGTATGTTATATTTCAATAAATTACATCATGAATGTTATTTCTCTAAATTACAGATCTATGAGCTTAGTATTACAGGCCGTTTATAGAACAGTTTAGTGTTTGGAACAGATCAGTTACATCAAATCTTCTGTCCTGTAACATCAAAGCTGAAATATATGTTATAATGAGTTGGGGTTTTTGTTCTTTTATTTTGTTTATATAGATACTGTTCTTATACTACATAGGAACAGTAATTTAAGAAAATCAGTTGTCCTTTTAATTCTGCATCATAGCAGCCACTTAAAATATGTGGCATTTTTATTATTTCATTCATGATCTATTTGTTCTGTTGTGCACTGGGAAAAGAAAGGCTGAGGATAGAGCTTCTGTTTTCACAAGAATCTTACAATTTTATCTGAAGAATGAAAGAATGATTTTCAAACATGCTGGGAAAATAGGAAGTAATTCTCAGTAGTGTAACTTTGTGGTGCCACTGTCTATTAGGTATTTCTTCACTTTGTATTAAACAATTGCCAAGCAAAAGATTGTTTTGATGAATTGTCATGAGGAGTTGATGGAAATTGTAATTCACTTCTGCTTTTCGGTGCTGGGTGAGCCAGTAATTAGAGATAAAAGACTTCAACCAGTGTTCTTCCCAAAGCCTTAAAAAATTCTCACCATCACCAAGAAAATGCCCTGTTTGTCTTTGCAATGCTTGTCCAGTTGATTTAGAGACACTCATTTTTACTACTTGGAGTAGCCATCGTTCCAGTCACTCGCTGGAAGATTTAAAGTAGCTTTAAGAATTGCCTTGAGAAACTCGCTTCTCTTCCATTAGCACTCCTTTAAGATCTGAGGTTCGTGTAAGATTATGTACATGATGCAATAAATCTGTTTGGCTGCCCACTTCAGTTGCTTGGTATTCCCATCCTTACATTTCAAGAGGCTGGTATTACTTCCCTTAGCACCATCACACTTCCCACAGAGGACAAAAACCTGCTTAGCTGGTGAAACAGGCCGTTTCTAATTCTTCTTCGGCTGCCGCCAGTGAAATGTCAGAAGTGAAAATGGTAACGATTGGGCCTTTTAAATAACAGAAGGAAACTCTTGTGGCACCCCATTTTGAAAGTCATCTTGTTGCCTGTACGTACCTCTGCTCCGGCTTAGTTGTGTTCAATAACAATGTTCAGTTTGATTTCAGCCTGTGACATACCAGTCCCTGTGTCACACCATTCTCATTCCTACACGCAGCTCCCAGTAAGTCACCCTAAAGGTGCCTGCAGTATTGTTTCAGAGGACTTATTTTCAGAGGAAATAGATGTTTGGAGAGAGAGTTTGGTGTCCCTCATGGCTTATGTATTGCTGATCCTTTGTGGTAGCAATGGAAGGAGCTGAAATCCTGGGCAAGGATGTGTGACTGGGTGGTGTTTGTGGCCATGTACTGCATGAGCAGTCAAGCTGAAGAGGTATCAGTCATAGATTCATTTAATTACAATTGGATACACATGAATTGGATTCTGTCTGTTGGGAAAAACAACCTAGGTACTGGAAAACAAGATGCTGGAAGCCCTGTTTAAAATTAATCCAAAAGAAAAACCTGAGGCTTAGATACTTTGTCAAACTAATAATTTCCAAAGGAAAATAGCCCGATTTTTCATAAGGTTATGTATTTTCCAGGTTTAACAAGTGTAGCTTTCCTGGCAAACATACTCCAGTGTCCCAAACTCCAGCCCTGGACCATAGGTTGAAACTAGATAATCTTTAGTGTCCCTTCCAACCCAAACTATTCTATGATTCTGTGTCATCTTAGTGCATTCAAAATTGGACTAAATAACCTTGTAAGATTACTGATAACTCAGTTGTGTTAAGGAAGAACATTACAAGAAAACTGGTGATGGACATATACCGAAGGGATTTCCTGACACTGTTTTAAATATTCCACTTTACAGTCAGATTTGGTAATTAAACTCATGTATTTGAAGCCATACTAGAAATATGCTGCAGAAGATGGTGGGTTAATCTAGATGTTAGATGGCTGCAGTATAGCCTGAGGTAATAACTTAAACTATAGTACTTTCAAATTCTGGTTGGCAAGTCCGTTTGGGTATTTGTGTCAAACGTAATGGCATTTTGTGCTTACACAGGATTACTGAACTTGACTAAAATTGGCATTTGAGCTTCGGGAATAGGATAATATTGGAGTCTGCTAATGGTGCATAATCACCACATTCCTACTTGTAAATGTTCTGCGCCTGAAAGATTTTTCTAACATTTGTTTAAAATTATTTTGCATCCACGTGACTTTGTTTAAGTGTAGTTTATTTTGCTCACAAGTTTTTTTTGCCAGAATTCATGGTTCCGGTAAAGTCTTTATTATCCTGCTACTGAAAAATGTTCTGATGTCCAATTTTTAGGTTGTGAATGTGGATATGCCCATTACAGATGACTCAGAGCTCCAGAAGTACTCAAAGGTAGGACTTACATGGTGGTTTCCTTCATGATATATGTTGGCAGAGTAATTCTAGAAGGACATGACACAATTCCAGATGCGTTTCAGGAATTTGATGGGTTTGTGACTCTTTCTTTCCCAAAAAAAGGCTGCCAATATTCTGCTTATCTTCTGGACTGATCCAATACCTTTTCTTAACATGGGCAAATGAACCTTTTAATACAACTCCACCACCCCCCAATACAGTTCTAATTGCCTTTGCCCCCAAAGAGCAGACTGGTTGTTTTTATTTGTGCAAACAGTTTGTAAAAGAGAAATTATAGACACTTGAGCAGTAGTGCCAGCGGTGTCACCATGAACACTTAATCATCTTATTGTGTGTTTAGTTCAGTTTGGTGAGTTCCTGAATCCTAAATGTGTTTAAATTGTGGTAGATAAGATTTGTACTTTATATATATATATATATATATATATATACTTCTCTTTTGGCAGCTATTACCCATCCACACTTGGAGATTAGGTGTTGAGCTTGACACATTTGATGGACATCATTATATATCATCAATTACTTCAGATGGTTCACCTGCAGCACTTGGTCTTCTGCAACTGGAGGATGAACTTCTGGAGGTAAAAAACAAAACAGAACCCGCCCCAAAATAGAACCTGATGTATTTCCTATTTTCTTGACCTTCTTCAAAATGCTTGTATTAAATTCTGATTTGGCTCTGTGTGTGCAATAGGAGTATTCCAGAGTTAGTTGTGGAAGCAGAGTAGTGCTTTGGAATTCACATTCATCTTCTTTCCTGTTTCCTTCCTCCTTTCTGGACAAAATATCAGATTTTTGTGTCCTCTTAGTGACTTCATGTGGAGTTTTTTTCTGAAATGTTTTAACACAAGTATGCAGAGTTATAAGGGCACAGATAATATTTGTTTTGAATTATTTGTAGTCCTGTAGCTCAGTCCTTTGCACAATTTGGCGTTAGCTTTTGTGGTGGATAATCTTTCTGAATATTTTTCACTCCTAAAAAATTTACAACAGTCTTAGGAGTACTGGTTCCAGTTACACATTATAACTTGCTTGCTGAGTGTTGAAACACATTTGTGTGTATGAGCAAGTACATCAGTTTGTTTAAATATGTATAGAGAGGTATGGGGGCAGTTTTGAACTTACGAGAATCACACTAGACCTATTTGCTCAGGTAAAATAATTATTTGAAAATATTAAAATAATACCTATTTTGTGTGTGTGTGTGTGTGTGTGTACGTGTATCTATCAGTATCTCAGCCTGCAAGTGAAAAGATGTCCTACTGAATACCAGCTCTTTGTGGAATATTTGAACCTCTTTTAGTGGATGCAAAGAACATTTAATGGGAACAGAATTAGGCCTTCGTAAAGATTGATTTGTTAGGTGTACAGCTATTTTGCTTTTACTTATTCACCTTTTAACATCAAAAATTCATACTGATATCACTAAGACCTAAAACATTTTCTTATGGCTTAATGGAGGAAATCTTGATTCCTGAAGGAAAGGATTAATGGAATGCTGGAAGTGTCGTTTAAATTCCTTGGCCATTAAACAAAAAATTATATACAAAAAGCAATAATGCAGTGCTGTAGAGTAACTTAGGAAACTTTAATTGCATATATTTAACAGTTTTATGTATTACTGCGTACTTACAGTTAAGTTCACAGGTATGTCCAGACCTAGTGAGCATAAATTATTTTCTACACTGTAGCTGGAAAAAAAAAAACCCAACAAAATAAAAATGTGCTCTGGGGCCAAAGCTTTATGTGCCAGGTTTAGCCCAGAGTATGTTTTTGCAGCCAAGTTAGAAATCCCCTTAAGTAGGAGTTTGCAGTGGAAAAAGTGACAGCCCCATTCCCCAAACAATTAACCCTACCTGGGCCTGATAGGGTTGGGATTAAAATGTGATTGGCAAGGAATTTTTGTAATATATAGAAGGGTTGAATGTTGATTATTTTTAATGATGTGTTTGAATTATGATAGGATGCATGATATTCCTCCCCTGACCTTAATTTTAGGTAATTTCACTGTGTTCTGTTTTAGGAGTAAAGGGCTTTGTGTCCTTCTGGTTTTGTTGTAAAATTTCACTCCTATTTGATGGCACAAATCACTGGAGCAGGGTGGTGAGTGAATGGGTGTAGGGCACCTTGCTTGCTTAGAAGCTGATTTCTCGCAGCTGCCAAAGAAGAAATGGGAGTCCCCATGTCTGCTGGGGAGTGCAGGGTAGCTCTTCCCCATCAATCACAGGATGCTGAGAAGTGCTGGTAACTTTCCACCACAGACTGCCACTCTCAATGCATTAAAAAATCCTTACGCGTAGATCCTTCTTCTTAAATAATTAACTAATGGATTAGTCTGATAGCTCAGCACTTGCTGTAATTCTTACAGAAAAAACCCAGAGCAGTTCATCTTACCATGGTGGAGGCTGGTTACACCACTCTCAATTTTTCTCCTTGCCTGGGCTATAGTGTGAGAAGAACTTTGTGTTTCCCAGCAGTATAAACTAAATTTACACTGCAAAAAGCATTAAGAGGGGGAGGAAAAAGTAGAAGTGATCAGGAGGAAAATGTTGGCTAAAGTGAACTTTCTGTGTAGCCTTGCATAAGATTGAATTCTAAACAGCAAGTTCTGAGCAGTACGTGGAGAGACTCTGCCTCATTTTACAGAGGTGTGCACATGTACGTTGCATGTTTTCATGCTCTGTTTTCTAAGATCAAATGTGAGCTCGTCTGCAGTTTGGGTGTGGAGGGAAGTATTGAAGAGTATCTTCAATTATCCCCACTTACTGTGCTTTGGTTCCTGTTGTGGAGTGACTTGGATGATGTGTGCTGGATTTCCACCTAAACCAGTGGTTACACTCCAGCAACTTTGGACATTTGGTCATGAGAGCAGACTTGAGGCAACCTGAAAGAAATCTCTGAAACACAAGAGATATTGGGATTGAGTCCATAGCACTAATTAGATGAAATTCCTGCTCCTTTGGGGCTGCAGTGCTGGTCAAGATAGTTGATGTTCACATCATTGACATCTCCTGACATTCTGCTTTTCTTGTGTTTAGGGATACCCTTGTGGTCCAAATAGATGTACCCTCAGGATATTGCATGTTATTTTCCTGAGGAAGTAGAATCACAGAATGGTTTGGGTTGAAGGGGACCTTAAAAATCACCTAGTTAGACCCCCTGCCATGGGCAAGGACACTTTTCACTAGACCAGGTTGCTCCAAACCCTGTCCAACTCGGCCTTGAACACTTCCAGGGATGGGGCAGCCACAACTTTTCTGGGCAAAAAAGTACAATTGCAGTATCCCATTTTTAAAGCAGCATTATCTATCTATCTATCTATCTATCTATCTATCTAGTCTATCTAGTCTATCTGATCTATCTCTTTTTTTTGTGTTTCAAAGTCTGTGGTTTAAAACATCCATTAACAATGGCCTTATGGTCTTCTGTTGTCACTCAGGATCTCAAGCTTATCGGATGGTAAGCTTTGAACCTTGTCACGATTTTCTGATTAATTACTTACTGCAGTTGGTTTCTTTTTTTCACTATATAAACATCTCTGCATGTTTTCTGTAGGATCTGTTTTAGTTTCAACCACTTTGTTACATTTGAAACTGGCAAAGTTAGAATCATAGAGTCACTGGAGTTGGAACACCTCTAAGGTCATCGAGTCCGACTGTTAAACTAGTTGTGCTAATTCTGACTTGAGTTTTTTGATTAAAGCTCAGAACCTGTGTTTTCTTAAAATATTGTGGAAAAGTTAAATTCTTTTCTTTTTAAATTCAAACACAATAAGCCTAATGCTAAAAAAAATTCCCCAACAAAGAAACAGGTGAGAAAGAAAGAATAATTCCAGGAAAGATTTAGGCTAGGAAAAATAGAATCAGAGAGTATGCTGAGTTGGAAAAGACCCATCGTGATCATCGAGTCCAACTCCTGGCCCTGCACAGAAAAGAGGTTTGAGGAAGCTGAAGAGACATGATGCAGCAGTCAGAAGTTACAAGATCTTGCAGATGAAGTTTAAGTTTTATAATAATCTATATATTCTTCAGAAGTTAATAAAACTTTGCAAGCTGTGCCAGAATCCCCAGGTAAAATTAGACTTTCACACTCAGGTGGGGAAAGAAATATATAGAGGGGCAAAAACCCTAAATAAAAGAATCTGGTTGATATCCTTTAATTCTTTTAGTGTTTCTCTTCTGTATAGGTAAACGGAGTCCAGCTGTATGGAAAATCCCGACGGGAGGCAGTCACTTTCCTCAAGGAAGTGCCACCCCCATTTACACTGGTTTGCTGTCGGCGACTCTTTGATGATGGCAGTGAGTCACTTGTAGATGAGCCCACCGTGGGAGTTTCCCTTCCAGAACAAAAGGTAGACTTCTTCTGTCATTCAGTTGTGAAAAAGGACGATAAGTTTTTTAAAAAGTGCATATATATTCCTGAGTTTATAAAGGTTGGTCATGAGAAACTTCATTGTTCTATAAAGACAAGGTAGGTAAATCACAAAGCTGCATTGCTGACTCTGTGCATCCCATTCATCATTCCTACACTTAATAGGTGAGTGAGAGCTCTGAATTATACTAAATCACATCCTTGCCACCATTAGCTGATTGCTTTCGTGTTCTGAGTAGGTTTTTATAGAACTGGAAAAAAAATGAAACCTAATGTTTCTTTCCATTGTGGAAGCTTTAAAGTCTCAAACTAAAACTTGACACTTGTGGTTGTTCCTATTTGCAAAAGTATTTACAACTTGGCTTCTCATCTTTTCTGATAGTCTGGTCTTTCTATTAGCTGTCTGTGGTTAAATCTTTTATGCTATTTATTTTTCCTTTATGCATCTAATGGGACAGCTGAAGTTCATCAACATGTAACAGGTTAGTAATATTATAACAATTAATTAATTAGACTAATAAATGCATGTTTGTGTGCCAGGTTGGGCCCTGATGCTCAAAACGTGGTTCCAGGGGAGTACTCAAGGCAGCAAGCTGGAGCAAACTATATTCATATTGTTTAATGAAGTTTTAATTCCATAAAAGGTCATGTTTTAGGGCATGTATACACCATTAATAATCAAAATATAGAAGGAATAATGTTTTTAAAGAACTGAAAGAATAGTATTTTAACTAGAGCTTTAAATTTCCAGGTGAAACCTGAGGAAGACTCTAACCCTGAGGAGGAAGAAGGAGAATTAGCATTATGGTCTCCTGATGTGAAGGTTATTGAACTGGAGAAAGACAAAAATGGTTTAGGATTCAGCATTTTAGACTATCAGGTATACTTTTCTGTGTAACTAAATACTAAAAATTCCTTTGATCCTTTGTCTTGCGTGGTGCCTTAAAATGTTTTGTAACGTTGATTCCCGGGTAATTGACTTGGCACTTGGACCTAGAAACTATAGGGAAAAGTAGTTTATTTTGAGGCCAACTCTATAAAGTATAGAGTGTTCTAAATCAGTCTGATTATTGGATGTGATTGAGTGCAAAATCTTTAATCAAACTCCACCTTATAACTCTGAGTTTAATTTCTAAATGTTGGAGGAGGTTGGTTCTTGTTGCATTTTGTTTTACTTGGAATGACTTTTCAACTATGAGAGTGGCAAGTGCACGTTCTGGGATTTTGGAGCATCGTTTCATATGTACCAAATGTAAAGGGTCTTTTGCTCTTTCTCCCCTCAGTACTCCAAATCTCCTTTCATGTACAAATGGAATATAGACCCTTGCTGGTCTGGGAACTTTGGTACCACTCAAGTCAGAAATATTCACTCAGGTTTTGAGTCAAGCCCTGAAAAAGTAGAGTTTGCAGAAGGAGCTTTACCAGGGCTGTCCTTCTCAGTCCAAAGGGAATATCAGGGCTGACACATGAATCAGTGTTGCAAACTCAAGTTTCTGCAGACACAAAATTGCTTTAATACATTTATTTTATTTATTAGTTGGGGTTGATTTTATCCTTAATTGTTAAACTCCTTAGAAATCAACAGACAGGTCTTTAATTGGGGGAAAATTCTACTAAAATTAGTGAATTCTTCTTTCAAAAATGTTGGCTGCAATTAAATACATAGAAACTCTCAAAATCTGTAGTCAGAATGAAATGTTCTTAGTGTTTCTAGTCAATGTGATACATTTTTTTAAACTTCTAGTCATCATATTTATAAGGAAATAAAATAGCTGGATCAGTCTTTATAATAATATACACATCACATCTGAGTGCTGCCTAAACGTTGTAGTTTAATGAAATGTGTTCAACTGTTGTGCATAAATGTCAAGTGATATAAAATTCACTTTTTGATACAATAAGGCATGAATTGGGAATGAATTAGAAGAAAAAATATTTGAAGTATTATGCAAAACCATTAATTCTGTATTTTACCAGTGTGATTTAAGATTACTGAAAATAGATCCTGTTAGTCATTTTCGCTGACACATGTTGTGTTGCAGTGCCAGCTTTACTGTAGAGTTGCTGGGAGTCTTTACAGAGCAGTAATACACAAATTTGCTTTTAAGTTCTCATATAATCAGAATTAATGAAGACTTTAATAGCAGGCTTTTTATTTACTTATTCGCAGATGCAAATACATGAGCAATGTTGTGGTACTTTCAGCTAAATATAAATACATTCTAATCAATTCTAAATGAGTGGTAAACCACTTAATCTCAGATCTTTATAATTTCAAGATATTTATGTATAAAGTATGCTCTTTTGTTTGGGATTTGCCTTTTAGATCTTTTACACTTTTCATCATCTGCAGATTAATTTTTATAGAGAGATATCTGTGACTGTGCATGTGTGTTGATGTAAATACATCCATCACATCCTTGTGTGCAAGGCAAAGAAAATAAATAATTGTCCATGCTAGATTGGAGGCAAGGAATAAAAATTGTACATGGATCCTCGGAGAGTGTTTGGAATTCTTAAAGCAGATCTACTGAGAAGCACAGAATTACAGCAGAGTGTTTAACAGTGGCTTGAAGGACCCAGAGACCCTTCTTTAAAAAATGAAAGGTGTTGTTTTAGGCACATACTCTTTGTTTTACTGGAGAAAATTCAAACCTTATAATGGCAAATGATACTTGCATGTACTTGCACTATATATCCACTGTTGATTTTGCTCCTTATGAGTAATATGATTTTTCATTTTTTTTTTAGATTTTTTTAAAGAGAAGATGGGTCTTCTCACGGCCTGGCTTCATCATCAGTGAGGCCAGCCTTTCTAGGCTCCCATTAGTGTTCATTGAGGGGAGGAAAATACTTTTTAAGAGGAGATTTTGAGCAGAAGGCCTGTTCCTGTTCCTGGTAGTTACACACACAAGGACTGACTCCCCATCCATTACAGAAATTTAAGGAAAATTTGATGTTACATACCCAACTGGGAGGTGATGTGACTGTATCCTGCGTTTTTAAGATCAAATTATTTCTGTAGCTGTTAGTTGAAATGGCACTTCAGACGTATTGGAAGGACTTCAGAAAGATCAGTAGAAATAGTGGAGTGACATAAGAGTTAAGAAATGGTGATGCACTATTACTACCCCCTTTGAAATGCCACTGTGGCAATTAGAGACCAGACTGGTTCCAGTGCTCTGGAAGTTTCTTCATGTTTGGTGCTTGTTTTGAAGCACAAGGCTTTTCACCTTTCCATCTTAGATTTGATTATAGAATTAGATGGGGTGCTGAAAACTCTTGTGGCATAGAATTTATGCTATTTGTCATTTTGTTTCTCAAAACTGGCTGCATGCTCAGCATAAAGGATGTTGTGCCTCAGTTGTCCTAAATGCTGTGCTTCCCAAGTCACGCTCTGGGAAACAGAATTAATAAAAACTCTTTGTGAAGTAGAACAGGAATCTGAGTGCATAGAAAACTGAATGCTGAGATCGAGAAAATTATTACTCTGGCATATTAATTTTTAATGGACTGTCTTTCTAATAATGTTTCATCTATCAAGTAAATGATAAGCATATCCCAAGAGACTTGCAGGATATTCCCAGAAATGTACAAGCATAATTCCAATGCCTATATATTTTAATGAACTAATTACAAATTAATTATACCAATTATGCATAATCAATAGTATTTCTACTTTGTCCTGTGTTTTCTTTTGTCTGTCTTTAGGGATTTAAAGGCTTCAAACAACCACCTTCTTTTTTTTTTAGTAAGATTTGTGCACACATTTCTAAAACTTTGGGGTACCAGTGGAAAATAGAGTTATCCCCTTTGCTATATCAGGACTGCATTTATATAGGATATTCTTCATCTTCCTGTGGTCACTGTATAAAAACAAAACCTTTTTCCCCCTCTGAATGTCCTAATTTGGAATTACGTGGTTGGAAATCTAAGATCTTTAAAAGCTGCTTTCCTGGCAGCAAGGTCAATACTTGGTGAGAGGAAGGTGGATGAGGAGGCTGGTCCTCTGTATTCTTGAAATGATGTGTTTCACTGGATTTCTTTTTCTTCCGATGTGAGGGATTATTTAAATAAGAAACACGGAAGAGGTCTTAAAATGAAATCTTTTGTGTATTTTTCTATTGTTATCACTGTCTTGGGATCTTGTCAAATCTCTTAGGCCAGGCATTGCTTTTTCTCAATGATGCTTAGATGAGATGCCTGCAGAGGGCTTTTGGCCATAAAAAGGTGTGCTGTTCAGTCTTCTGGCCAACTTCTCCATGAAGTAATATACTCTACCTCCCTTAATTTCCTTGCAATTTCACTTGGAGAAGTTACTCTCCCTTTCACCTCTTAACTAACTTTTATGTGGTGTTGCTGGCACAGTTAGCGGCAAGTTTTGATGGTGAATGAGGGACCCAGTGTTTGGGATCATCTGGGATGCAACAGGCTGTGGTCAGTGTATTTGTTGTTCGTTGTCAATAGACCTGAAAGTATCCAGCTCAACAGTAGTTCTGTCTAGCCTAGAATTAGTCATAGAACCATGGCATCAGAGAATGGTTTGGGTTGGAAGGGACTTCAATGCTTATCCAGTTCCAACCCCCTACCATGGGCAGGGTCACCTTTCATCAGACTAGGTTACTTCAAACCCAGTCCAACATCCTAACCAGCAAGTCAAGAGCTTATTGTTATTGAGACCAATCCCTTTTTCTTAGAAAGAAATTAAAAGATATGTCATCAGATTAAAATAGGGGAGAAATGCTGTCTGAATGTAATGGTGATCCCAGGGCATTAGAGCAAGAGGAAAGAAAAATCCCACCAGATTAAGATTTCTAGAGAAAAAGAAATCACAGTGGTATAGAATGTACTTTGAGCCCTGAAACAGTGTTTACCAAAGAACATGCATTGCAGGCCAATAGGTTCTGTCAGTAATGGTTTACAAGAATATTGGAAAAACCACAGGTAGCTGAATTGCAGATTTCTTGAGGCAGTATTGACCAGAAGGTAACTTAAATGGTCTGATGAGCTTTTATCAAATTAAACAAAAAGCTGAATGGACTCTATGTGGAGCTTAATTTACTGTGCTTTGAAGTCAGAGTCTTATTAAAGCAGCTGTTTCAGAGCGTGAAACTGGAGAGGGTGAGGGTTGTGGAACAAGGGGGTTTGACATTTTACACAGCTCTTAGGAATGACTGTGAGATGCTGTTTCTCCCTGTCTGTGCGGAAAGGTAAGTCCCCAGTGCCCAGGTGCTTTTGTACTGTACCCAGCTGCCCTAGAGACCTGTTGGGCTGTAGGAGCTCATGGACTCATCTGTTCCAAGTGGTCCATGGAAGCAGGAAGAGGCATTTCAGCACTCAATGAGCTTCATGTTACCCAGACCTGAAGAAGCAGTATGAAGTGTGCTTGCTTTGGTCTGCCTGGGTCAGTGTTCCAGGGGTGTTACTCTAATACAGCAATAGAAACTCCACAGCTGCCTTATCCCTGGGCTTCACTTTATTATCAGTAGCAGTTTTTTCTTACTGTTGAACGAAAGTCTCTTTTGCTGCACATTCAGCAGGTTATGTTTTGTCCTTCTCCCAGGGAGCATGGGAAAGAATTGTTTTCTCTTTTCTAACAAAATCACTGTGTAGTCATTCACGGCAGGAAGTGAAGCAATTTAAGTGTCTCCAAATATCTTTCCTCTTTTCTTTATGCCCCAAACAAACAGACTCCAGATGTAGAGTTACAAAAAAGCAAACTGACTTATTTGTAGAAGGTGGTATTCAACTAGATTATTTTTTTTTTCCTTTCTTGGTCTGTTCAGCAGTGAGATGCAGGCTGGAATGCTTTGACACATTGCTGGCTAAACGTTTGCCCTCTTGTGATAATTTGAGCTTTGTCTGTCTTGTGATAAGTTT